ACTGTTTCACTGTTTTCTTCTCAGCTTGGGATTCATATCTCTCTGTCTCATGAGAAGGAGCCTCTGGGAACAGGTGAGTTTCTCTTCACTACAGACAGGAAACTTCCTCCGTACTACAACAAAGTACAATTTAAGTGTCCAGTGAATATTGAGAGTGTGGAACAGCTATGTGGATAAAAGCTTCAGCGAAATGAGTAAATATAAATGTTTGTGTAATAACAATGTAATGTGCTATTAATCCTACAAGATCGGGTGGGCTGTATGGATGATCTTCTGTCACAGTGTAATTATATATTTAACGATGTAGAAATTGTCCTGGATATTCATGTAAAGTATTCCATTATTCTAGTGTAAGCGTCTGATTTTACCTCATCCAGTAACTTATTTACCTGACAAATAAATGTATTTCATCATATTGATGCAAAAAACCTTGTAATTCTAATATTGTCATAAAATAGTCCTGCTCAGTGATTTACTACATGGCATAATACAACCAGATAAAAGGATAACACAGCACAGGTGCAGCTGCCCCCCCCCCCCCCCCCCATAAACTGTTGCCACGAATTCGCTAGGGCACTTTTGATTGAAATTGAAAATTTCCCTTCATGGGAACTACGGGGCCCAAACAGACAAAATACAGGGCTGTTCACACCATTTTAAGACTGTGTCTGGGAGTTCAAACTAGTTTTCCAGTGTGTGTAGTTGCAGTGTATTGTAGCGTAGGGTCCGTTAGAACGATGACTTAATGTTTGATATAATTAATAAAATTAGATATTAATATGTGTGTCCAGCGGGTCCCTTGGCGTTGGCTCGAGAGCTGCTGAACGTCGACAACGAACCGTTCTTTGTCCTCAACTCAGACGTCATCTGTGATTTTCCCTTCAAAGACCTGCTGCAGTTTCACCGCAACCACGGCAAGGAGGGAACCATCGTGGTGAGAGAGACCGAGATAGTGCAAAGTGTCTTTTCTAAATAAATCTGTTCAGATATGCAGGCTGACAGATGCTACAGAATGTACAGTCAGATACGGGAGTCAGATACGGGAGTCAGATACGGGAGTCAGATACGGGAGTCAGATACGGGAGTCAGATACGGGAGTCAGATACGGGAGTCAGATATGGGATGAAATCTTTGGTCATCAGTCCAAAATGGTGAGAGACGTTGACATCCGATGATTCAGAGTTAGAAACCAAAGACATCCAGACTGGACCATTTAAAAAAAGACGATTTTTCTTTTTTTAATATTCATGTACTCAATACAAATAAGGAATTTGGATATTGTAATAACAAATGGATATCGTGAAAAATAGTTTAGAATATTTTCATAATTTCAATTTCCACCATCTATTCTTCCCTGTCACTGTTGGTCTTTAGACTTCAGGCTTTTAGCTTGAGAAAGTAAAGATTACACAGATAAACCATTAAAATGTATATATGTTTTCATAGAGTTCCCTTTATATAATATAATTACATTATATTTTTCAAAAGCACAATTTTAATGTACAATTTGGCGACCTGTCCTTTAAAGAAGTATTCTTATTTAGTTTAACTTTCTATACTATATTTTTGTTGTACACATTTTTAAAAAGTTTGTCTAAGTTAAAGTGATTGAAAATGAATTGTTTAGTTAGTTGAATTAGGTCTGTACTGTTGTACACTGGACATTTTTTTCAGAAATGAAAGGCAAAATAATTTAGTTTCAGTGAGAGAGTAAAACACAGAAGAACAAAGTTTTCATTGTGAAAACGGTTTGTTTTCAATTCTGTGTGGGTGTGAAGGTAACGCGGGTAGAGGAGCCCTCTAAGTACGGCGTGGTGGTGTTTGAGCCGGAAACTGGCAGGATACATCGCTTTGTTGAGAAACCGCAGGTCTTTGTGTCCAACAAGATCAACGCCGGCATTTACATCTTCAATCCCAGCATGCTCAGCAGGATCCAGGTGACTCACGCACGCATGCACGCACGCACTCACGCACTCACGCACGCACTCACGCACGCACTCTGCCTCAAATGTTTGTGATGAAGTAACAAGTAAGCGTGCCGTGGGACTTTTTACCCAAGTACCTATCTAACTCTTTTTGGTGTTCACTGATACATATTTATCTATCTTGATACTCATTACTGACATTTAATTTTACGTTTGTGACTTTTGTTTATTTTTTTGTGTGTTTGTGCGTATGTGTGCAGCTGAGACCAACATCTATAGAGAAAGAGATATTTCCTGTCATGGCAGAGGAGGGACAGCTGTACACCATGGAGCTACAGGGTAACTATTACAACACAAATCTATAACAGACACTTTTATATGAGTTGATCTATAAATTACTTTTCAGATTAATTAATGATTCCTAAAGCTGTCCTCCTTAAATGTCTCGCTTTGCCCGATCAACAGTCCAAAACCAAAATATATTCAGTTCACAATCATATAAAACAGCGAACCTTCACCTCGGAGGAGCTGAAAGCAGGGAACGGTTTGTATTTATACTTGATAAATGACTAAAACAATTAATTGATTATAAAGATAGTTGACAAGTAGTTTTTAGCTCACATTGTATACACAAGAGGATAATTCTGGTTTAACACAAATTGGGTTTTATTCTTAAATAAATAATGGAATATAAGTTGACCTGTGTGCTCTGGTCTCGCAGCTCACAGCTCTACCAGACGTAAGTGTTTTGGTTTTTCTTCACACCCGAACTCATGTAGTTCTGGAGAGGAATCGTTTGTAGAGAAGCACCGAGACCAACAAAACGTGATATCTGAAACACGATGTCTGGACTAGAAGGTTTCCTACAGCCACAGTGCAACAAGACTGGATTCTCTGGCATCCAGATAAAGATGAGTGTAGATCAGAACCAACCATGATCCGATCAGGTGAAGGAAAATGGAATCGGTGCATCTCTAGATCCTCATCCCTCTCTGGGAACGAAGAGCAGTGGAAACATGTAGCTGAGCAGAACCTTCCTCCTGTCCTGTAGTCCAGGCAGCTGGACTGGTCCTAGTCATGACTCTGGTCCAGGTGTTAGTGGCTTTGTATGCTAACTGCTCTCACTGTCTGTGTCTTTGTATGCTGTTTGTTTGTCTGCCTGCCTGTTTGTCTGTCTGCAGGTTTCTGGATGGACATCGGCCAGCCGAAAGACTTCCTGACAGGGATGTGTATGTACCTTCAGTCGCTTCGACAGCACACGCCTGAGAGGCTACACACGGGGCCCGGTTTTCTAGGCAACGTTCTGGTGGTGAGTTCAGCTCTTTGGCGCTCCATCACTCCATTTGTTGATTAAAAAAAAGGCACTCAGTAATAATCCTCGCTTTCCTCTGCAGGATCCAACGGCGCAGATTGGGGAGAACTGCACCATTGGCCCGAATGTCACCATCGGTGCCGGCGTGGTTGTGGAGGACGGGGTGAGGATAAAACGGTGCACGGTGATGAAAGGAGCGCGGGTTCGATCGCACTCCTGGCTGGAAAGCTGCATTGTTGGATGGAGCTCCTCTGTTGGTCAGTGGGTGAGTATAGGACAGAGGTCACCAACCTATTCCAAGCAAAGATCTCTTGTTTGAATAGACAAATCCAGTGGCTGATTTATGTGTTGTGTCATTACTGTGGTGGAGTGGAACTGAAAAAATTTACACTGACAGTGAAAGCAGAGACGTTTGGCAGATGAAGGTAGTTTGTGGAAGTCATTCACTCTCAAAGTACTAAAATGAATAATGACTGCATGTCTGACCTCCACAGTCTGAATGTGACCGATTAAGGAATTACTGTAGCTTATTATTATTATTATTATTATTATTATTATTATAAATAATTAAATGATCAAAGTTGCATTATAATCACAAGAAATGCATAAAAATGTGACTGAAACAACTGAGCAGTTGCATGGAGGCTTTTATTTAGGTTTTTGTTGCTGGCAGCTGATAACGGCACAAATCTGGATTTTTTTTAAATTTTTTTTTAAGATTATAACCTTTGGTGGCTATATTTTAAGTTATTTATAACTGGATCTCCTGGACAGAGTTTTTGGGAAACGTGACGTCCTTTACATACATTACAGTGTTGCACATGAGTTTACAAGTGAGGAACCACCGCAGTAATGGTGGCTTGTTTTCTTCCGTCTACAACTCGGATTTATGTATACAAGCCAAGATCTACCATCTACCATCTCCTCCTAAAACCAGCATAGAAGACACACCTGTAAATGTTACAATGTAGATCTCGGGCAACAGGTCAAAAAGAAAGCGCTTTTTTTGACATTACCGGTAATAATCAGAATTTGTGATGCACGCACAGCCCGAGTGGTTTACATTTACATTTATTCATTTAGCTGACACAATGGTGGATGTCTCACAGTGGGAATCGAACCAAGGTCTCCCACAGCAAAGGTGTGCATCTTATCTATGCGCCATCACCACTCCCACCTTAATGACTTTCATCTCAGACTCTTCCTTTAGACTAAAGGACTAAAAATATTTAAATATTCTTTGATGCCTATTTACTGCTTTTTTTTTTTTTTTTTTTTTCTCTCTCTCATCTCATATTTGATATGTATGAACTTAGTTATGACTGTTTTCAGGTGTGATGACGACTTGTCTCTGGGTTAATCTGTGTCATCAGGTTCGTATGGAGAATGTGACGGTGTTGGGGGAGGATGTGATCGTGAATGACGAGCTTTACCTGAACGGTGCCAACGTCCTGCCTCACAAGTCCATCATCGAGTCTGTCCCAGAGCCACGAATCATCATGTAGCATCGGGTAGAGGAGAAAAGCCTGGCGCCTTTTTTTTTTATTTTATTATATGAACTCGGCTGAACACCCAAACTGTGCCAGATGGAAAGGGACGGACAGACGGGTTGGAGAAAGGAAGGAGAGAAAAAGGAACGAGAAGGGTTTCTTTTCTATTTCTAATTAATTTGGACTTGTTTTTAGCCCTGCTTGGCTGCACTGTCCATCAGTCAGAAATGATGGCAATATGATCTGTCACAAAGGTGTCTGGCTCATCAGAAAGGTTTATACTTGTTACACTTTGTCAGAACTGCAGGTAAATAATCAAACGCTAATGTGCTGAATGTGATGGATGGTACACGTCTCATATGAAACACTGCTTTTAAAGGCGAGGGAGGGGGTTGATAACCAGGCAGATTGTCTTATCTAATGTGAAGTGTATTTGGGGGGTGGGGTTGGAGAGCGATATGAACACTGCTGTTTAGGTTTACTATGCATTTACATTTCCTGGACAGCTAAAGTATCGGTGAGAGGATTATAGTACATCTACATGTTTCTCTGCTGTAACGGAGACTGGAATTATGACTGATGACACTGAGAGCTATGATCTGTCATATTGAACAAAATGCAGTATTAGTTATAGGTAAAGCTGCATTAAAGAGGTCATATTATGGTTTTTGGCTTTTCCCCTGTACTTTTATTGTTATATATCCCTTTTTTTGTGCGTGTAATGGGTTTGCAAAGTGAAAAAGCCCACCAGAGGTCGTTCCCATCTCCCAAAGAACACACTGCTCTGAACTGCCTGAAAATGGCTTGCTTGTAGTCCAGCCATTTCTGCCGCTTTGCTGCGAAACACGCGTCATAATACTCTCCTAGCAGCTAGTCCGACATGCCCTCAAAAACACCGGTGGAAAAACAAACTGAGCTTCAGCACACAGTGACAAGCCGTCCGCCTGCTGCCTCCCATGTCCCTTATGAAACCTAAATTTGTTACAGATTAATAACTCACCACTCTGAAACTCTTCGTCCAGTCAATGTTGCTAAGCTGGTAAGGGGAACACATACAGCTGAACCAAAGCTGTGTTTAGTGGCTTTTCAGGGCCCACCCTACTCTGCTTCTGATTGGCTAGTAGTCCTTAACTAGGAACTGTGCATGTGCAACTCCCAACAAATATCAAGTAGTGGTGAGATGCATCACTCCATAGCTAAAATTAAGCGTTCAACACACAGGGTGACAAGAGGAGCTACTGCAATTTGCAGTATGACAAAAATATGGTGTTTTTTGAAAATGAAACTATGTAAACCTGTTCTGGTACAACCCCTAAATAAAATGATGAACCTGTAAATGAGCATAATATGACCTCTTTAATAGATTAATTGTTTGGCTCTTCGAGGGCAGCAGAACAAACTGTAAACACAACCTCTAGCAGAACACCTTTCTGTAAATTTCTTATGGCAAATGGTTTAGTAAAGAGTTGCATTCACATAATCCAGTGTTTGAATCCACCTGATGAATGTAATTTGATCCATTTTTAAAAAAAAGACTTGATTAGTGCAGCTTTAATCAGTTATAGAGTAGGTGTTGATTATGTCTCATTGCCTTGGTAAACATGTTTTTATGTTGCTATAATGCCAAACTGGTTACTGCTCTGTAAAAAGTGAACAAAATGCATTTTATACCAAACTGCAGTTCATCAAATACGTTTACAGATATTTTAGTTATCTGGGATAGTATTGTTTCAACATGTTTTACATTCATGTGTAAGTGTTTCTTAAAGTTAACACTCTTGTTTTGTTAAAATCTTGTTTTTGCTGACATCTAGTGGTTTAACACCTTGCTTCAGTGATGTACAGGTGTACCCCAGGACACAGTGACATCACTATGGGCTGTGGTTACAGATGCAGCAGAAACTGAAACAGGCTTGAAACCTTTTAACCATAGAGGGCAGTTCAGAATTTGCACGTTGGCCATTTTAGGACATTTGAGACTCAGCTTAACATCATCAGGCTCAATTCAAATTTCAATAGTCTAAGCTGTACTTGGTCAGCTTTACTCAACTTTACTCATCCTCAGCGGTGCATAAGTTAGCCACAGCCATCATGTTAACATGCAACTATTGAATGTTTTAACAATGGTTCTAATGTTATTGCTTAGCATGCTAACATTTTAGCATGTTTCTGTCCTCCACTGTGTAAACACAAGTGTCCAATTCTGTGTTGTCATATGTCTGGCTTTGTTTTGTGTTGGGTTAAAAAAAAGTTAATTCATTCATTTTATTACAAGGTGTGCTGGAGCTTTCGATTTGATTAATTTGATATGGAAATTTGAAAATCCACAACTCCATGACAGCCGGGTTAACTCCAACAACGCACCACTAATGGACCTTGTGGTGAGATTTCTTTGTCAGTAGTTGGTGTTTGTCTCCTTGTCGCTGCAGTAGTGATTCCTACTGTCTGGTCGAGCTTCCTGCACATTAGAGAGAGTAGAACTCGGGGTGAATAGACTGAACCTAATGCTACTCTTGTGGTGGAAGTTCATTGAAAGGTGATAGACATGCAAACATTTACCATGTTAGCATGGTGTTTTAGCATTCATCTCAAGCTGAGGTTAATGGATGATCAGTCTTCAGTTTTCCTGCTAGACTGGTCAAGTGAAGACTTGTCAAGGACGCCAGATGAAATGTCACAGGATCACCAAAGTCATTAGCATTCATCTTCGGGGACCATGAATTTCTCAACCAAATCGCATAAGATTTGTCTTTTCACCGACAGACTCACTAATGTTGCTGAATTCAACATCAGACAAGAGTTTGTTTGAGACAGATTTCACTCCTACTAGTCAATGAAGGGGATAGATTAACCCTGCCTCTTGATTTTTCATTGCTGACCATGAACAGGTGACGTCAGCTGTCTGTCCAGACACTCTAAACTGACCTCTGAACAGAATGCAGTGGTTCCATGTTGTTATGCAGTTATTGATAAACAGTATTTAGAGCACTGAACATGTTGACTTTAACTGTGTGTGAATGAATGAAGTCAATTCTTGTAATGAATTTTTTAAAGAGAATAATATAATCTACTGACCACATCAACATCTTGTCTCATCTCATTTAACACATGAAGATCAGTTTAAAGGTCACGGTTAGTTCTTCTCAGCCTGTGAAAACCGCTGTATGTTCTCGTCTTTGGCTCTGGAGGAGAATATAATGATATAAAATACTTATAAAAGTATTGTGTATAATTCTACTGGTTTTATCCTCTTTAAATTTTCTGTGGAGGCTGAAGGAAATAACTCCAATATGAAACACGAACATGAAGTGCAGACACTTGTTGAGAAAATTAAGTCATAAAGTATTTAAGTCAGTAAACCTATAGCAATGTTGAGATGAGATGGGACCTAGAGATAGCAGGCCAGAAAATAAACACAGCCGCTCTCGTCTTCTGTGCCTGTCTGAGGTGGCACATAAGTAATTAAATATAAAAAGACATGTTTTACTCTAGAAATTATGACTTTATTTTTGTAATTCAGCTTTAGTCTCAAAACATTGCAATTTTTTTCCTCTAAATATTCATAACTATTTTAAAATATTAGTCGACTGTATTGTGACATGTTTTTGCTCTTATAGTGTCGCTAAATGTTGCCCTAAAACTCTATCATAGTTCTTCAAATCATGGAGGTTTAATTAACTCAATCTCTGGACACATTCAATCTGAGACCATTTCATTTAATTCTTTATTAGCTGTAGAATGATAATTAAAAGCACTTCATCATAACACAATCAATAATGTACCGTTTACATTTACAAAACTCGTCCCCTTTGCCACACATTGAAACTGATATAGAGTTCAAAATGAAGCCAGCACAGAATTAATTTAAAAGTATAAAGCAAAATTATTAAAAATGATAAGCTAGCCTACAAATAAGCCAAAGAATATGTAATGATTCCTCATTATGAGTCTTATTCCTCCTCCATCAAAAAGACAGGAGCTTGACCAATAAATCAGCACACTGATATTACTCATTAGGAGTGTGATTAGTCACGATGTTTATTGTGTATTTATGTACACAATTTGATGTCTGCCAATATATTATCAGATTTTTAAAAACTCAAATATTAACAGCAAATATTCATTCTCTGGCGAGCTCTACTACACACATACATTTAGTTTGGAACATCATCTCAGCATTATAATAGTGCTGTCTCCTCCACAAGTATCATTTCATCATCTTAGAGATTAGAAAAAGAAAAACAATAAGATTAACAAAATCCATGAAAAATGTGATGTCATTAGCCTAAGCGTAATCAGTAAATGTTTTGACAAAACTGAGTCTCAGAATTTCAACATGCTTCTCATGTTCCTAACACTGATTCTCCTCTATTCATTCATTACAGATGTTTGTGCTGTAATGAAAGCCTGTGGACGTAACAAGCAAAAAAACTTTTTTTTTAATTTGAAGAAAGATTTCATAGAACATGAAAAGTATTATTGACATGCCGCTTAACAACAAATCTGAGTAACCTTCCTTAATCTGAAAATAATATAAAACATGCTTGGCTCATGTGTTTGGAAACAAGCCTGTTGAGACTGTGTGCTGTTCCATTCTTACAGAGACTTAACAGGTAATATCTTCAGTGGGAATTTATTGTTGGTGTCAATATAAGGAAACAGTCTCACAGTGAAATTGTGTGTGAAGGTGTGTATGTGTGTGTTGGTATCAAGATCAGAGAATGACAACTTTCCTTTGTCAAAGTCCAGATGGACTCTGATCCTCTGGAGCTTCTTCACTGGGAGACGTTTTGACAGTGGTGGAGAGAATGCCATGTATTTCTCCTTAAGGAAAAAAGCTATTTCCCAGAATCCAGTCTGTATTTTTCCCTGCCTCTGGCCAGATTCCTGCATCACACCTACGGCCCATGATTGGTAATTTCTGACCTCAACATCCCAGCTGTGAGTGCCAGAAGTAAAGCCCTCTGAGCCCAGGACACAGTGGTGGAAATCAAACCTCTCTGGGTTTTCAGGAAGCTTCTGTCTCTCTCCAAGTCTCACGCTGGTCAGATCTCCAGACAGGATGAGTTCTGGATGAGCAGTGTTTGGGTCCAGAATCACAGGAGTGTAGGAGACCATCTCCTTCATCTTGTTCCAGATGTTGAAGGTCAGGTTGCCCAGGTGTTTGGCCTCGTCTATCAGAGCTCCTGAGACCAGCTCTGGATCCTCCAGCAGGGGGCGCTGCTGGACTCTTTCTACTGCAGCCTTGTAGTTGAGCAGGAATGAGACGTCTTCAGCTCTCAGCTCCTCCTCTGTAGCTCTGATTGTGTCTGAAAGAGCTGCTATCTCTCTGCTCAGAGACTCAGTCTTTACCTTCATCGTTTGACTCTTCTGCTCCTCTTCCTCCCTCACAGCAGCGATCCTGGCCTCCTCTTCCTCTTGTAGAAACTGGTGAAGCTTCTCAAACTGCTCCTTAATCTGCCTCTCTGTGTTTCGGGCCTGGACCTTAATGTGTTCTGCTGTTTGATCACAGTTTCCTTTAACTTGTTCAAAGAGCTTCAGTTTCTCCTGTAAGGGTTTCAGGGATTTCTGGAGCTCCTCTCTGTGATCCTGTGCAGCTTCATCGATGGGTCTGAATCTGTGGTTGTTGTGTGTTTTTGAATCTCTGCAGATGACACACACTGGCTGCTGATGGTCCAGACAGAAGAGTTTGAGTTTCTCAGAGTGCAGACTGCAGAGAATCTCAAACTCAGCTGAAGCTCTCTGATCTCTCTCCAGTAAGAAGGCCTCACACAGGTTCTTTAACGCCAGGTTACACGGTGGATCACTCAACAAAGACCTTTCCCTGCAAACCGGACACTCGTGTATTAGTTTATCTCTCCACCATCTCTGCAGACAGGCTTTACAGAAGCTGTGGCTACATGACAGAACAACAGGATCTTTAAAGATGTCATGGCAGACCGGACAGGAGAGATCCTTTTCTAAATGAGAAGACATTTGTCTCTAAGTGAAGCTGAAAACACAGCAGGCAGAACAATGAAAGCAGACGTCAGTCAGTCGAGAAATGCCCTTAAAATTACTTTCGTTTTGAGTCGGAGCTCCTCTATATTTCCTGTGTTAAATTTTCAATCAGCAGCAGGTTGAAGTGGCAGCATTCCAGTAATCCCAGTGATCCCAGTATTTTCTCTTTTCTGTGGCCTCACTGCAGTGTGTTTGTGCAGAAGATTGAACACACTGGGCAGAAAAAGCAGTAGTGTCATATGTGGAATGAGGAAAGCACATAGCGCACACACCCATCCGGTGCTATGACCATGCCTTGTAGTAAAAAAAGTCCCTAACCCAGTCAGTTGGCGTAGGCTAGTCAAGGTAACAGGATATGTTGCTAAATGCGGTGCTTTCTCTTTATACCATGATGGGCCCTTGAAGCGTCTCGCACTTAAGCACTCACCAGGTGATGCCAACTAGTCTGTGAGGGTTCTTGGTTTAGGCTTCAGGGTGGAAACTGTGATTGGGCCAATGCCAACTTCAGTTAGGGTGCAATACACATAACAGCAGACATTTACCAGCCATTACAATCAAGAAGAGCCTTGTTTTGCTCAAATAAAATACGGTATATATTCAGTGACAACACAATAAGAAGTGTTTGTTATGTAACTACACACATACACAGACACACACAAACTCAATGATACTTTCTTCACGGTCGAGGCACATAAGGGATTAACTGTGTGATTTGAACATATTCCAGAGTAAATTTATTATTTGAAAATTAATAATTAATAATCAGTTTACTTGTTTTTATCAAAACAGTCTATATTTCAGTCTAGAACTAATTGGTGGACTGACTGAGATTGCGTTTGCACCTACCGAAGATCCGAACACAAGGCGAGCCAGTCTACTTCCAGATTTATATGTCAAGCAAGATAAGAGTGTTTAAGTCATGTATTTGATGTATGCATCAATTGGTTTTGTTGTGAACAGCCTTTTAGCTTTCAGTACTGATCTGCCCGAGTATAAGCTTACTCTGATATTCTGCTTTTGTCTGCTAAGAAGATACACATTCAGAATTTATTTAACTGACAAATCTAAAACAATAGCTTGCCCAAGTCTGACCCCTGTGGTTAAAATGGGCCAGAACCACCACTGAACGTTGCCCAGTTTGTTCTCTCAGTAGCAGTATCTGAACACAGTGTAGCTCTGATTTGTTTTTTAATTAGATGGAGCATTTTGTTGCTGCTGTAAAGTCTATTTGTGCTTTGATGGTTGTTATATAGTTTTGCAAACAAGTCAAATAATTATCAGAGGTGGAATAAGTATCCAGATAATTTACTGAAGTAAAAGAAGCAAAACTATATGCAATAGTATTGGGATAATATCTAACTCTGCTGAGCTCTCTTTAACTGTATTTGGCACTGTCTGACTCTGTTGGGTCCTGCTTTGCCCCTTTTAACCCTGTTGGCCCTGCAAGGTCCCATTGCGCCAGATGTGACCATGTCCAGCTCTGTTTAGCCCTCTTTGGCGCCCTGGTTCTATTTAGCCCTGTTGGGCGTGGTCTAGCTATTTTTAGCCTTGTTGTCCCTGCCTAGTTCTGTTTTGCCCATGTGCCCTGCCAGGCTGTTAGCCACATTAGCACTATCTTTGCCCTGTCTGGCTTTGATTTAGCCTGACTGAGCTCTAAACCCTAGTCCTGCAAGGCTCTTCCTGGCTCTTCTTAGCTCTGTATGGCTCGGCTTGGATCACTTTATCCCTCTTTTATACCTGCCTGGCTCTGCGCAGCACCATTGGTCCTGCTAGCTTTGTTTCACACCATTTGGCCCAGTCTGGCTCTGTTTGGCCTTGCTCAGCTCTGTGGTCTAGCTGTGGTCTGATCTTCTGAGCCTGAGGAGGAGGAGGAATCCCTGACATTCCTATTGGCCGAGGAGTTTTTCAGGCTCACTCTGATTGGCTGGCAGAGTGTGAGCAGGGATTCCCAAAGGGCCCTCTCTGTCTTTGTCTCAGATTAAAAACACAAACAGTCCAGTCAGGCCTCACCGCTCCAGGTAGTCCTCCAGTCTGCTGAAGACCAGGACTAAACACTCTGATCTGCTGTTCTGCAGCAGAAATCAGGAGTCATTAGCAACAGTACAGCTTCTGTTTTTAAGACCATAAATCTCCCTCATTACTGCCAGACTGTAACATAGGAGGTACCTGTAATATTTAGCAACACAGGGTGAATTCTCAGCGGAGTCAGAAAGACAAACAGAGGTGAATGACGGAGCTGCTGTTTCACTATAAGGCAGAAAGTGTGAAGTGAAGACTTCAGTTTCCCTTCAGGGGCGTGTTAGAGCAAAGGAGGTGAAGAAACCTGTTGAGTTCATGTTGCAGAGGGTGGAGAAGGAGAGCTGGCAACAGGACGAATCAGGAGAGAAGAGTGGAGGGAAAAAATACAACAGAAAAGTGTCCACAGCTGAAGAGGAGAAAGGTGAGTTTTATTGTTGCTGTAAATAGAAAAGGGGGAAAGAACAGAGACAGAAAAAGAGAGAAAACTGAGTTTGAAAGTGAAGCCTGAAAGTAAAAAAGGGAAAACGTAAAGAATTAAGCTGATGTTTCTCAGGAGGAATGAGATGAAAGTCTAGACGGTTAAATTACAGTGGGCTGTTGAGAGCCGGTGGTGCAGAGCGGCGGCAGGAGCGACTGTGGGCGGGCAGAGAGGAAGTGTGGTCGACAGGCGAGGAATTTAAAGTCCCATTGTTCTGGAAGAGCAGAGGCAGACAGAGCTGAGGAGCCGAGCCACTGACACTTGTTGGACAACATGGACGTGAGCTCAGCCATGGAGAAGGTAGGACAGACACATTTACACCTAGACATCTGAACTTCTTGTTCATAAATACGTTCAGACAAACAAATCAAAAGTAATGAGGTGGTCAAGGGTCAGAAGGTCAGATAGATGTGATGTAGCCTCTTCTGCTGATGGAAGTCTGGAGAAAGTCTTGTCTTTGAATAAGGAGACTTTACTGAGTTTGAATTTTTTTGCCATTCGATTTATTTTGTTTCACTTTATTGTTCAGTCGGCATTGTCTTCTTGTTAATTCATTTCTATTTGACAAGGTGGTTATTTTGTTTTCTTTTGCTATAACAAATTTAAAGATGAATCTATCTTGTCAACGTCATTTTCAGTAAACACAGAAGCTGTGGTAAACGGTTGCTAGATGCAGTTAATTTAATATTTGATCATGATTTATATTACATTTTGACTTAGGAGTTAATTTTTAATTGTTTCTCAAGGAGCAATGTGAGGAAAGAAACATTTCAAGATTCACACACATATAACAATCTATAAAAACAAATGTGATTAAATAATGAAAACAGTTACAATCTAATTGCATCTGTTCATAATAGTTTAACACTGAATCATGAGTTCTGTGCTGGATGCTCTTATTGCTTCTTTATTAAAACAACGTGAGGCGATGACTCCACTCAGTGCAAGGGTTGTTTAGCTGCGGTGATAGGGTTGCTCTCAATTTAGAGAAACTTTTTTAGACATATCAAAAAAAGGTTTCTCTGACAAAACTCCTAAATAAACTCTTTGGCAGAAACTGATCAACTACATTTACTCGTCTTGAGACAAAGAATTCGGTGAGAAAAGTGCAACTTAGCTGCCAAATAAATTTTTTTTGACACATTTTAAAATGTTTTTGAAAATCTTGCTTTTCCCATATGATCAACCAAAATCGTGAAAAACTTGGGAGCCAAATTAATTAGTTAAAATTGATGAGACTATATTCGTTTATTATTATTATTATTATTTATATTGATTTATCCAAATAAATGGGCAAAAAGAAACTGTTTACCGTCCAGAGCGTCTTAGCTGCCAAATAAGTGATGGCAGCATACGAGGAATCCTATTAAACACTTGACCTCTTATCAACATGACAGGTTTGTCAATCACAGTGAATACAGGCGACAGGGATCAGACCCAAATGCAGAGAGAAGCAGGCAGTCAGGACCAGTTCAATTATTTATTTAAAAGTGAAGGTTTAGGCAAGCAGGCAAGTGGGGGTCAAAACCAGAGAACAAACAAGCAACACTTCCACGGGGGCAGAAAGTCAAAAAAACATAAGGCAAGTTTCAAAACTAGGCAGGTAAAGGGGAAAAGAGAGAGGCGACTGAATGGAGGGACAGAGAGGAAGAAAGCAAAACCGAGACTGAGGAAGAAAAGGTTTTATAGGTTTTATAGATCCTATTGATTCTATGACCTGCCAGTACATAAAGATGTTTGGATGAATCTCCTGAGCTTGTTCACATTCATTTAATTTCGAACAGCTGGAGATTTCTAATTCAGTCAGTGAAGGTAATCCATGACCACGAGGACCTGATCCCCCCTGCTGGGTCTGTTCTGGCAGCCGTATACAGTTTGTCTCCCACAGATCCCTCCCGTAATTTATCCTCTGGTTGTCCATCCAGAGGTCACATCAGTCTGAGGCAGATAACCTGACGGATCAGTGTCACCTGTCACGGGTTTGATCCCCCCGCCGGCCTTTATAGCTGCCATCACCAGGATGGAAATAACCCCCAACACACACAAATACACTCACACAATGGGATTGAGGATTGTTTGGAGGTATCTCTGTAACCAAAATACAAAACAAAAATTAACCAAGACTTTATCTAAGACTAGATAAAGTTGAAAAATCTATTTTAATATGTGAAGAAAATAAAAAGAAACACCAAACTATCAGTTCTCTCCCATCCAATCAAACTGTCCTTGTCTTCCTGACATGCCATTTCTTTACACTTTTGAATAGTGAATAATAACAAGGTACTGTCTCTTGTAAGTGCCAGCTCAGTTGTGGAGAACAACAGGAAATATCCAGGATGCCAGGTTAACTGCAGCAGGTCGACTCTTTGACCTCCATCTTATCTCACAGCGTTTCCTGCAGTTTCCCCTTCACATAGCCGACATGTTTAGAATTACTCAGCCAAGTTTGAACCACCTACGACATACTCGCCTTATCTGACTCCTAAATATAGAGCTGCTGCACGTTTCCCTCTTTCTGAAAAAATGCATTTCTACTTTGGCTCATATGTAGTAGTAACAGACGCTCTTATTCACAGGAATGATTCATTCTGTGCTGTTCAGTGTTTGTGATTAAGATACCTCCATCAGACCAATTGTCAGTGATCACCTGATAACAGAGGAGCAACACAGAGTACATATTTGTGCTGATCTGAAATCGTTAAAATTGTTTAATAGTTAATTTCAGCTTTCAGAAGCCAGTTTTTATCTCTTTAAAAGGACAAAATGTTATTCAGCATATTGCAAGTGCTGCAGATTAGCAACCTGATAGAGCAGCAAAAAATAAATCGTCATAAAAGTTGGTCAGTGTAAGGTGTTGATTTTGCACAGACTCATTCACCACAACATTACCTGCATCATGTCTGCTGTGTCATGACTGGTTGCAGGCTGAGTAATAGGTTTATTTCTTCTTTGGAGGAACTTTTGAGCCAGATCTTCTCTTCCTGTGACTCACTCCCACCAGAGTCACAGTGAGTATACTTACTGGCAAGAGCACCGTTAAACACACTATAGACAAATTGGATCATTGGGTGATTACTTCCTGCCTTTACTACAGGAAGAAGGAGCTCATCACCAGCAGCAGAGTATTAGTGTGAATGTTCCTTTAAAGCTAGTTTTGGTCTTAATCATCACATCATAACATCCATAATGTAACCGGTCCTGGTTACTGTTAACTGGTGTCAGCTCAGTAACATAAAGCTGAACACACACTGTCAGTCAGCGTATTCCAGAGGGATGTAATGAAGTCTTGTTCTTCTTCAGCTGTTTCCGGTCCAGCTGTCATCGCTTGTGACCTTTTCAACACGGGCTGATCAACAGTCTCTTCACTGTCACTGACAACACACACTCCGCCTCTCTCTCTTCACACCTCTAAACACACTCATCTGTCCTCTCTCACTGCTAACGACTGCTTGACACCCCTCTCCACAAACTTCAGTGTACCTTTGATCTGGGTCTGTTTTTCCTAGTTTGGGTCCCCAATGAAGGAACAGTTAGACATTTTGGGAAATGTGCTTATTTGCTTTCTTCCTCAAAGTTAAATGAGAAGTTTGATGCCACTCTCATGTTTGTGCAGTAAAAAAGCTACAGCCAGCTAACTTAGCTTAGCACAAAGACTGGAAACAGGGGGAAATAGCTAGACTCGCTCTGTCCAACTGTAACAAATCTGCCTTCGAGTATATGTTATGCTTAACAAGTAATATCTTTTGTTTTTAATCCGTACAAAGTTTTATGAGGGTTATGTTTTACACTTTTACTTGGCAAGGACTAGAGGATGATCTTCACTCCTGTCCCGTCCCTCTCCCATGAAAAAAAGCTTTTATTCATATTAGAACTGTATATTTATATTTAAAAAAACCGACCTATGATTCCCTTCCCACCTGCTCCCGTTGACTGTTTTTAGTGTCCCATGTCCCATGATGAATAGTGAAACTGACTCTCAGTTTCTAGCCATTGCCATGGAACCAGTGGAGACTAATAACAAATAAGGAGGTTTCCCTAAATGTCAAACCTTTCTTGTTCCTACATAACAATACCCCCATGCTCCAACCAGGTCCATAAATAAATGTTGTTTCTCAGTTTGCTGCACAGAGCCTCAAACTTCCCCATCCAACACCTTTGGGATAAACTGGAACGCAGACGGTGAGCCAGACCTCATCACGCACAACAGTGTTGGAGCTCATTAATGCTCTTGAGGCTGGATGGGAGAAAATCCCTGCAGCCAGTTCATCATTTTGGAAGAGCTTGTGTCTCTCTAAATATATACAGTATATTACGTGTATGAATGTCTCCCTGAGGAGAGATGGGCCTGTTAATACCAGTTGACAGATGGACAGGTGGACAGTCCATCTCTCTGTAAGACAAATAGCAGCAAGTTGTTTTAGCAGAACAGTCATCAGGTTTCCTGCCAAAGGCTTTAAAAACAGTCAGTCATCTCTGAGTGTTGTTTCCTGCTCTTGACCTTGAAATTAATTTTAACAAAAAAAATTATTTTCCACCTGAGATTTCAACCAAATCTTACCTTCTTCATAAGTGCATAGAGTTAGCTCAGTTGACATTAGTATGGAACTGTGGTCACATAACAGTTGGCTGTGTATTACGAGATGACATTCAAGCAAACTCGACATGCTGATCAAGACCGATGGATGTGGGTGAAAGCTCAGGAAAAAAGCAGACCTTGAGTTAAGATTTTTTTTTAACTTTAATAATGTTTGTTCAAGTTCAACAACTAACAACTATTATTTGTTCATTGTATAATACAAATAATTCTGTTAGAGAATACAGTGTAAAGTATGTGGAAGAGGATTGTGGAAAGTTCTTTTCTCTTTCAAAGAGAAAGGAAAAAATGGGAATGTAAAGCTGAGGCACAGTGAGGAAAGGAAGAGAGGGGACAGTTCAAACAGATAGAAAAGACTTATAGTTTGTATAGCTGAAGAGGAGGAGATGAAAAATTGAGTGTTGGGTATACAGATAAGACTGTATCAGATGATGTAATTGGGTGGACCAATGAGATCATCCGCCCTGTGTGTGTGTGTGTGTGTTGTTCACGCCCTTCTCTTCCTCCAACACTCACTGAGAAAAGTTCAAAACATCAACTCTTTGTGTCATGCGGATATCTAATCTGGCTCATGTCTTTAGGGTTAAGTTTGGGGTGAAATTGTTTTGGTTCACTCGAGGTCCACACACCAGCTTTGTTACAATAAAACCCTCATCAGGCTTTTTCCAGAGCTTTCACTTGCATCAGCAGAGGAAGTTAAAAGATACAGAGAAAGACTTCTAGTGGACATTAAATTAAGATTATTTTTTTAAACTGCTATATCAAAGTCAAGCATGAACTTTTAATATGAGTGTTTGGTTCGTGTTTTAATCAGGTTTACTAACTTTTATGTTTAAAAAACTCCCTTTAAAATGTTTTCTATAATGCAAGTACAATCTTTCCACATAGTCCACATTGGTATAAGGAACAGAGACAGCCTCAGGTGTGTGTCAGTGAAGAAACAAGGCCAGAAAATGGCACATCTAAATTAATCTGCACATCTTTGCAAAATTTTTGGTTCTAGAAACTTGTAGAAACGGGCATTACTTGTTGGTGAACTACTGTAGCTGGCGAGTTACATGCTAGCCAGCTGAGCTAGTGCTCCGAGCTTGGAACATCTCGTTTACTCCCCCCCTGGCATTTTGTTCAGAGGATTGTACTTCATTTCATTCAACAAATAGTTATTGAAGAGGGGAAAAGGCCGGTGTTATCCTACACTTTCTTATGGTCATCAAGACTAAAATCAACAATGTGGTAGTCAGGACTAATACTTTCTGATTTCCTTACAATATCAGCCCCAAGTCCATTGAATCCAACCAAAGACATATTTAGAAATGTAAATATAGTGTTTAATTTTTTAAAAGTCATGATAATTTACTAACACACGAGCACTGCAGCACTGCAGTTTGTGTGTTCATGGAGATGAAGGAACATGTTACCCAGTGCATCAGTGTGGCTCACGGCTGTGTTTTTGCTCCATGGCACAGAGGGATAAAAATATATTAGGCTCTGAATATACACACTTACTACACAGTAAGAAAAATAGAGAATATCACCAGACTTAAAAAGTAAAAATGTTCATCTCCCTAACAATAACCTAGTGTTTCATAATTTTGACATACCGTCGTATTTTACATTTTTATCTGTTTTTTCTTTCTATACTAGCTCTTGTTCGGCTCTTGTGACCTCTGAACTTTGACGCTCTCACTATTAGGTGGCTTATAATGTAGAAACTAAAAAGGACTGTACCTCACAGGATCAGAGTTATGTAAATAATTTGAATATAGAACATTACTGTGTTTGTATTTTTTTCTCCTCTCAGATGTCTGTAAAGCAGAGTGCAGGAGGTGCAGCGGTGTGTCTCGTATGTGAGGAGAGCTGCTCTGGATTCCAGCCACATTCTTGGAGGTACAACCTTTCCCTGTTTTAAAAAATATATATTATTTCTCTCTGCCGAAAAATTAAACGATAAGAAAAGCTATGAAAGGAATGAAGAGAAGAAACTAAATGCTTGTGGTTTCTCCACTGCTCTCTCTCTCTCTATAATTATCTGCTCTTAAAAAGAACATGTTAGCGGTTTTGCATATTTTAGCCAATTGGACGAAGGTTTTGACCAACGATGTTAAACATCAACAAGCTTGCAAACTACATGGAAGAAATAAACTTGGAGCAAGGACCTTTTGAATTTGTTTATGTTCTTGCTTTAAAAAGAGGTTATTATCTTTATCATTCGTTTTCAAGCCAGTAAGGGAGCATGTCCTTGTCGCTACAGCAGAAATTCTAAGGAGTTGGTTGTGTTTCAAGAGTTTTGACCTCTGAGGGGGAGGTCACACGATTGGGTCCAAAAAAGCCCAAGCTATAGTTTTAGCTATAGCCATTTCACATCTACTCTTATTGTAGAATAAAATTGTAGAATAAAAATCCCTGTTGTTTGCTTTGGTCTGTGATACACAATAAAGTAGATGCTGTAACTGTGTATTGTTTAATAGAGTTGGGAGTATAAAAGGGAGTATATTTTAGCAGCTCTGATTTACACATCTGTGTGGCTTCTTCTTCATAGCAACAACTGCTGAGCCTCATGGGCATTGAAGAATGTAGAGCCGTCCATCAAACGGACCGGAAAAAAACACGATTACTCAGAAACAAAGATGTAAATAATTTAAACTAATGGCCATACCATTAAAACACAAATTACTGTTAAATTGTTTAGGAGATTTCTGTGTTTCTATGCTGACACAAAACTGAAGAGAAAACAAGTTAAATGTAGTTTTAATTAATTGAAATGTCATTTGGTTTTGAGGTTAGTCTTGTTAATATCATACGTTTTGTTGGGGGAAGCACCCAAAATGGTACAAAAAGTATCCGAAATGATCACACACTTCCCAAAATAATTTTTACCCACCCAATTAAATTAAAGTAGCCCAATTAGACAGACAATTCTCTACAGGCTGATCATGTGACACATTTTTGTTTGATGTCTTATCGCTAAGTGCCTTCCTCTCTTTTTCTCCCATTGACCTCTTGACCTGTCTGCTGTGCAGGAAAGCCTGTATTGCCTGCGGCTGCAGCACAGTTGACCACACTCCAGGAAGTGACGTCGAAGATGACCAGCGCATGGGACGCCTGCTCACAGACTCATCCTGCTCCCATTTGACAGCGAAGGTTAAAGGATGCGGTGGCCTTCGCACATACAAGAGGAACCGTATGATCGTGACCAATCCGGTGGTGTCACGTAAGGACCCGACCTTCAACACCACAACATATGACTGGGCGCCGGCCGGCCTCAACCAGACACTGGTGAGGATCAGTGTGAAGTACAGGAGGTTGGTTGTTCGTATGAAGCTGCAGTGTGTTGGTCTGTGTCAGCTTGTAAAGTCACATTTTACTCACCAGCTTTGTTGCTGAGATCTGAGGACACGATGACTGTCACAAAGAGCTTTACCAAAAATGTACACAGCAATCACACAAAAAATCAGGTTTTAATCAAACTCACAATTTAAGCATGTGATCTAAACCTTTGATTTGTCAGTAAAAATACAGGCAAATATTTAAATTACAACCCAAACCTGTATATGTGTTACTTACACAGTTACTTTAAGAAACAGCTACGCATCAGATGTAAGGAAGCATTTGAAAAAGCATAACAATATAGTCCATCGACAACAGGAACGCCATTGTACCATCACATCCAGCCATTCTAAACATATGTGTTTAAACATTTTGTTGTTACTTTCTGAAGGAGGAGGAGTGGGCGCTTTATGGGCTTTTTGTCCCACTAGTTTTATCCCCATTACACACAAATACTGTTATATACCTACATGTTGTGTATACACAAAGCAAAACTTATGCTCAAACACAAACAAAGTGAGTTTGTTGTTTTGGCTCACATTTTTACCACTATAAAGTGTACATGCCTAAAGTATGATCACTGCAAATATAGATTATATGATCAGCATGAAAAACTAAATGTTATACACATCCTAAATGTTAACCACTTTACTCAGTTTATTTAGTTTAGTTTCTGCAGCCCTCTCTGTGTGTCAAACAGTTTAGACCGTCTGGATTCCATTAAAAACAGACTCAAGTATGTTTCAGGTTTCACAGCCTATAATTATAAGGATGACAGTGATTATTGAGCACTGTAGCGCAGTGGGGCAGTTGCGGGGGGAATTTCTGTGGTTGAGCTTGGAGAGACAAATCCAGATCCAACAGTGGGACTGCTGTCCAGATCTGTCTCCAAAAATCTTCAGCATGTTGTTTGTTTCATCCAACACTTTCATAGCGTCTAAGGATAGAGGGTGTTATATGCTGTACAGACAGCAAAGCCCCTTTAGGCAGATTTGTGATATTGGGCTAAATAAATAAAACTGACTTCACTATTCTGCTGTGAAATAAACACTGCTGCATTTAAAGTCTGCTAATGCAGCTCTAGACTCTTAGTCATTATCTTACTCATCTGACAACACACACATGTGTTACTGACAACAGCTGGATAGTGTGATGAGGACATCGGATTTCTCTTCTAAACTGAATTATGTCATCCGGCCAAGCAATCATGTGTCTTGTGTATGTTTTTGAGAAAGCCCATCCACACTGCAATGTGAGACCAGTGTTTCCAGATGTATTTATTTTAGAGAGTGCGATCAACAAGCTCAAGTGATGGTGGGAGATTCCAGCGAAGCGCCAAAATGAAAAGAAAGACTTTGTTTTTTCAATTGATCCGCAATATAAGATGATAAACAGACCGAACAGAATTTATTTATTTCAAATTAAATCTGTTTGGGTTTTTGTAGCTTTTTTCAGTCTTTCTTGATCTTGATCTTTCTGATTTCTCCCTGTGACTTACTGTATATTTCTCATAGAGAACACAAAAGACATGGTGTAGACATTAGTAGTATAGATAGTATTATAAATGACAACAGATTACAAAAGTCAACTTAACTAACACTTAATAAATGCAACTTTTTAAATGCTGCTGATAATGTTTCTGCACATTGTTTTATTACTACTTTTATTTAAGCATAAGTTCTGAATACTTCTGCCACCAGTGACTAAAACTAAAAAGCACCTTAAACCAGGCCTATAGCTAAAAAAATCAAGTAAAATAGTCGATTAGTTTCCTCAGTTTCTGACCTGCAGTTCCAGTACAACCTACCCTGACATCGTCAGTCTAACTTGCATTTGCGTATAGCAGATTCAACAGAAACAGTTCCACATTAGCAGCAGCAGCCATACTGGTTCTTTCGAAAAATGCCTCAAAGGCCAATGAGGTTGTGCTCCTCTGTACAGTCATTGTATCAAACGCCCCATATTAGATAAACTGTTGTAATTGGCCCGATCAGATCCAGGACAAGTGGAAATCTGTCCAAATGGGACGAAGGCCAGACACATTTGGCAGAGCAAATAAAGCGTGAGCTCACAGATTCATCTGGTTCCAATGCTAAGTACAACCTGCACCACCTATTGCATTACGTGTTAAAACTGCCGCAGCTGTTTTATTCTTCTGTCTGAAGCCAGTGACATCAACATGTCTACAGTACACCTGCAGGTCTGAACTGCTACTTTACTTTCGTGTAGATGATGCAGGTTGACAGGCGTAGAACTGACTCATAATGACCAAACAGCCTCCCATCGTGGTGAATCTGCAGCCTGATAAATGTGAATGACTGATGGAAGCACTCAGTTTTGTCAGTGAACTTCAATTAGATGGTTCACATCTCAACAAAACCAATGAAACATTTTAATTAATATTAAAATATTGTAAACGTAACCAGAACTCAAATGCCCCTGATCCCTCTCAGGCCATGCAGTACATGGAGCTGATCCCGGAGAGTAAACGTCCTGTCTCGGGGACAGACGGAGCATTGGAGCGACGCAGGCAGCTCTTCTGTCAGCTCCCTGTCTACGATCAAGACCCTATGAAGTGTCAGAGCCTGGCCAATGAGGAGGAGGTACAGGCAACAACAAAGGCAACATGCTAAAACTAGCTTGTTTGCTCACTAATTATGTACAAATTGTATTCATGTGGTACAAAATCTGTTTCACTTCATTCCCCACATTACAGACCTGCTTTGCTAATAATCAAATAATTGTTAGTTACCAAGCTAAAATTACGTCAGCTATATGTTAGCAAACCAATGTCACTTTTTTCACACGTTTTTTACTGATTAAAAATTTCTTGCACATGGTGGAAAAGTCTACTTAAACAATGTTTTCTTATTACAAGTTTACTCTGAACTCTTACTTGTCCTCTTGCAGATCACCTCCATGCTGCTGTTTGTGAAGCACTACAAACAGGAGGTGCTGGGAGTCGGGGAGGTGGCCTTACCTGGTGAGGGTGGAGCTCTGAGGGAAGCAGCTATTCAGAGGAGAGCGAAGGAAGCCAAGGACCGCAGCAACATCGACAAGAAGGATCACAACCACAGCTCCACCAATTGCAGCTCCACCGCCGCTGCTGGTTCCACTAATGGAACAAATGACAGCAATGTGACTGAATATGTAAGTAAATAAGGCATCTGACATCTTTGAAGTTTAAATCCTGGCAATTTCGGTTGCAACCTCAAGAAACTTTTGCCACTTTTGCTTTCACAAAGCACCAGACAGATAGGAAACTTCAGCACATTTCTAGCCCAGTAATTCTAGTCCAGTTATACAGTATAGTAGGTTGCCCCCTCGGTCCTGTCGCACCGCCAAACAGACCTTAAATCCCTCTGCCCAATTTATACCCACTTTTGGGAGTGTTTAGTTGAATTTACAACTGCATCTTTCGTGGATTCCAGACACCTAAATTATCACTGTTAATAGGCCTAAACAAATTACTGACCACTTAAGTGTGGACAGGACAGCAGGCTTGCTCCTTCTTAGAGGAAATACTACCCCCTGATCAGATGGTGTGGGGTGAGTGCACTGATCTGGTTGCAGTAAAACCAATAGTGAAATTTGTTATGTATTCATAAAGTGGAGTTTTTCAGTTGCACTCCTAAAGGATTTTAACCACTTCATGTTACCTCAAATAGATTACCAACGCCACCAAACTTTCCCGCTTTTGGTCACAAAATGTTGCATGGGCCAGCAGATTGTGTAACTCTGAAAGTTTCCCCAAAATGCCTCACTGTAATGTTTCTGAGCCCACCCATTTTAAACGAGAAGTTTGTTCCAGTAGTTTTGCACACTACCTTCCTTCACTTTCCCATTCTGTCATCT